TACTTCGGCTGAGAGAGGCAATTTAGTAACTGTGGCAGTTGCTGTTTCTGCCAGTGGAAATTCAATTCCTCCATTTTTCATATTTCCTCGTGTGAAATTTAAAAGCTATTTTTTAAATGGTGCTCCTGATGGAAGTGCAGGCGCTGCAAACCCATCTGGTTGGATGACTGAAGTTCAATTTTTGCAGTTTTCCCATCATTTTGTCAAATATGCCAGAAGTACAAAAGAACGACCTGTTTTGTTGCTATTAGACAATCATGACTCTCATCTTTCAGTAGAGGCTTTAGATTACTTTAAAGAAAATGGGGTATCGGTTTGTTCATTTCCTCCTCATTGCAGCCATAAACTTCAACCTCTAGATCGAAGTGTATTTGGACCTTTTAAAAAATACACAAACACAGCTTGCGATGCGTGGATGACAATGCACCCTGGTTCCACAATGTCTATTTACAGTTTACCAGGTATTGTGGGTAACTCATTTCCATTAGCATGTACCCCTAATAATATCAAGGCTGGTTTTGCAAAAACAGGAATTTACCCACTAAATGTTAACATTTTTGGTGAACACGATTTTATGCCAGCCTATACCACAGATAGACCACCTCCGAAACAAGACTGTGCTGTGGAAAGTACAGTGCTAAATATAAGTAATGTAATGGATGTTGACTTTACAATATCTGAGAATGACATGTTAAATGCTGGTTGCTCAAAAGATATAGAACCACGTCAAGATATTTCATATTCAAGCAGTAATGATGAACACAGTGCATCTACAGAGTCAACTGTAGTTCTATCGCCTGAAGATTTAAGACCATTCAAAAAAGCTGAACCAAGAAAAAGAGTTAGGGCTAATAAAAGAAGTAGAACCACATCAATTTTAACAGATTCACCAAATATGAATGTTTTAAAAATAGAGAAAGAATCAGCTAAAAAGAAAAAGTTAGCAATTGAAGAGAGAAAACAAGCAAAAAAGTTAAACGAAGATAATATTAAGATGAGTAAAAGATCAAATAGTAAAGGAAGTTTACACTTAATGGAGAAAAGTTTGAATTGTCCAAATAGCTCTGTTGTAGAGGAGTGTTTTTGTTTGGTTTGTGTTGGAATGTTTTCTAAAAGTAAAGCAGGGGAAGTTTGGGTTCAATGCACCCAATGTCACCTTTGGGCTCACGAGTCATGTATAATCGGAAAATCTTTGTTTTTCATTTGCAATAATTGCTGCTAGCCGATTTGAAACTCCATTAGTTAAAAATATTCATGTAATAAAACAATATAAGTTTTAATTCTTATTGTATAACCATAAATTGGGAACACTGTTTTGTTTTGTCACTGTATTTTTTAATTATATTTACTTTCTATTGCTTAAAATGTTACAATGACTTGATCCAAAAGTTTGATGATATTGATAAAAGTATATTTCTGCTATGATTCCTTTAAAAAAAAGGGGCTCGGGGTAAAAATATTATTAAAATACACTTAAATAGGACCTTTAACTTTAGCTTTTATTATTGTGAGTCAACTTACCCCTTGAGTATAAGCAACTTACCCCATGGTGGGGTAAGTTGGCGCAATTTTTTTTTTTTTTTTGAGGGCCCAGAAAGGCCCCACAATATTTTTTTTGTAAATGAATACAACTTTTATAAGTTACCCAAATTCATACTCTTTGAAACTACACTTTTATGTTTTCAAAAAAATGTTTCGTTAGGACTACAGAACTCATAGAGTAAAAACCGAGTCAACTAGCCCCGGTCTCCCCTATATATAAAACACCATTCATAGTATCTTCTTAATTTCTGATATCTGATATTATTCTGCGAAAAATATTTTAATGGCTGAACTAAATAAATATAAACGGCGAACAGCAATTTAATATAAAAACCTCTTTATAGAAACTCTACCTTGCGATGTAGCTTTTCTATACATGTGTCGGAATTCTATACATTAAAGTAGTATTACCGTATAGTAGTAGTAGTTGTACCGCATCGAGTTTCTATACAAATTTTCTATACATACTCTACACACTCCTTTTTGCATCCTCCTCCTCCTCCTCCTCCTCCTCATCATCATCATTATCATCATCATCATCATCATCATCATCATCATCATCATCATCATCTTCTTCTTCTTCTTCTTCTCTTTCGGCAAATACTACACCATATAAATACTAAAGTTTATATAAATATGAAAGGATATTGTATGCCAACATCTAAATAAATAGCAAACATATATGTTTATATCCATAATATGTATGCCTAAAATGCATCTCAGAAGCTTTTATTTCATCTGGACTAAAAGTTTGGAAGCTTTAATTCATACTCCTCAATTTTAATTCAAATCTCATTATACTCCATATTTTTCACTATCTTGAACAGTTGCTTTATGAATCATTTATTTCATCTTTTTTACAAGAATATCTCTCTTAAGAACAAATGTCCTTTTATTATTTCAAGAAGTGAATGTAAAAAGTGTCCTGTCTGATGTTAAGCTCTGTTATTCTCAGTTTACTAAATCTTTTATCTTATATCAGATGTTAGGTTCTAGAGACTTTTGATTAGTCTTCAACAATGTCATTAACTAAAGTAAGTCTAATATTTAATCTTTTTAGTTATATAATATTTAATAATATTTAATTTTTAAAAAGTGCTAAATAAGTAATTTCAATTTTTCAAAACTCTAGAAAACACTTTGACCTATCTAACTATTCTGAGATTAGTCCACTCTGTTATAAGTTTCTTTATATAAAGGTTTTGAGGTTATTAAATTATTTTTTACTAACTGCAGTAATAAAGTTATTCTTGAAGACCTACACTCTTTATTTTAAGTAACATTAAAGGTACAACAAGGTATCTTGCGGTACCCTTAAATCTTTGCTCCTGTATTGTTTCTTATCTACAATCTTCGTGAAAATTTAATATCTAAAAAGGCTCTATTTGTTAACGACTCAACTTTATACTCTTGTCTTGACAAAAAATCTTCACTTTTTGATTGCTTAAAACAGGCAGCTGATTTTTAATCTGATCTCTCTTAACAGGCTTGCAGTCGCTTGTGTAACAACCTAAGGCTTGCTGTCGCTAATCGATTTAAGTTCTGGACTTAAAACCTGCAATTTTTGTTAGCCAACAAAACTTATTTATTTACTGCAAAAAAATATTGCAATAATGTTGATATACCTATATTGATTATTAACAACCCTCTTACTCTCAGACAAAGTCTAAAAGCACATTGTAAATGTAATGCGATCATGGTGTAGTGGTAGAGTGCTTGCGTCATAAGGAAGAGGTACCAAGTTTGATCCCCACCAAGTCCCTGGTATTACCACGCTTAACATGTTTATCTGCACAGCAGCCTTGGTTGTCAAAGTTGGTGTTTCGAAGTTATATAGTTGAGAGAGAGAGAGTTATAACCACAATTAAGTAGCCTCTTTGTCTGTAGTGGCGTTTTCAGCCTTGAGGAGGTGAACTAACATTAAAATAAAATAAATTAATTTATCTGTCAAGCTTGAGCCTCTCTCCCATTTTTATAAGGTTGCATTTCTTTCTTTTTTATAAGGTTGCATTTCTTTCTTTTTTATAAGGTTGCATTTCTTTCTTTTTTATAAGGTTGCATTTCTTTCTTTTTTATAAGGTTGCATTTCTTTCTTTTTTATAAGGTTGCATTTCTTTCTTTTTTATAAGGTTGCATTTCTTTCTTTTTTATAAGGTTGCATTTCTTTCTTATTTATAAGGTTGCATTTCTTTCTTTTTTATAAGGTTGCATTTCTTTCTTTTTTATAAGGTTGCATTTCTTTCTTTTTTATAAGGTTGCATTTCTTTCTTTTTTATAAGGTTGCATTTCTTTCTTTTTTATAAGGTTGCATTTCTTTCTTTTTTATAAGGTTGCATTTCTTTCTTTTTTCTACAAATACAATCATGGTCAATGCTCAAACAAGCTATTGTCTGTATTACAATAAACCAAAACTCATTCTTGCTTGTTTCTTATTCAACAAGTTGCATCCTTTTGCTGTATCTGTCTTTTCATGCTATAAAAACTATTATAAATCCAGTTTTTTTCCTTGCACATCAAAAAAACCTTATAACTATTAGTCATCTTCATGTTTTTCTTTTATATAAAACCTCAACTTTTCAAGTTTTCAGTTAACCATTTCCTAGTATTTTTACTTATTCTCTATTTTAAACTAACTAATAACTTAAAAGTGGTTGCTTGTAACCTTGCTGGAAGTATATTAGAGTTTGAAAATGTATAAATATATGCCAGTATTTAATAAATAGTAAATGTAAGCATAAAATATAATATATAAAGTATTATAAAATATTTTCTAGTCCCGACTATCAACCCCTGCTAAATCTTAAAGTTTAGCCAGGTCTATTTTTTAGCTGGGGCCCTGGTCGTTTACCACTTAACTGTATAAAAATCAGCAAAATCTTAGATATATGATAACATGTTTGAAAATTTTTGAATCAATTGACATTGAATTACCCAGAGTTTTAACTCTACATCAAATCTAAATTGCCTCACTGACTAGAATACATTTTGCCTCACTGACTAGAATATATTTTGCCTCACTGACTAGAATACATTTTTAGAACAATCTTTCTGCTTTTATGTTGCTTTTTTTTTCCTTTTTTTTCATCTTGCTCTTTTTTTTTTTTTTTTTGCTGAAATTTTTTATGATTTTTCTTCTGCATTTAGCTTTGTCTTTTTTTTTCCTTGTCTATTTTTGAATAGCCTGTTTTTCTTGTTACTTGGAAACTTGATGCTTCCACTTGCTTAACTTAACGTTTACAGCAGGCAAGGTAATCACATTGAATGTAGGTCAAGGTTTTTTTTCTCTTTTTCATTTTTTCTTTTTTTTTCAATTCCTTTTTTCATTTTTTTTTTTTTCTTATTTCTTTTTTTTATTGATAAAATATAAAAAAAAATTTATATAAAATTATAGTCAAGATATTCTGTTTATTTTCCAGAATGTTTTTGAAACAAAAAATAAACAAATTTTGTTATTATAGAAGCAGAAAAATAAAGTAGCACTGGATTCAAATTTCATCAAGTAAATGAAATAGTTTTTTTTCCTTAAATATATTGTGTTAACATATGATAATTTTGTTCCAATTTTTGCATAGGCAGTTGACAAGGATAATAAAGATTCTTATAACTGGTCCTTTTTCTAAAGAGGTATAAAGTTTGATAATCTTTTCTAACCAAACATAAATCTATTTTAATAATTATTATATTTAAACTTGGGTTTTCTATTTTTTAAGTAATTTAAAAGTTTATTGTCTGTTAAAAATATTTATGTTTGTTTTTTACTTTTGCTTTTATTATTAAGTAGTTCTCTTGTGTTTATATTCAATATAACTTTTATAGTCAATATTATTTTTTAGAAAATTTATGGAAATTGCATAATAAGCTAAAACAAATTGCACTATGTAACACAATTTTTGTTCCTGGGTTCTAAGTGTTATATTTTAATTACTTATATCTAAAGTATGTGAAAAAATGAATTTGTTAAGCACAAACTTACACAACAACAGCACGAAGAAAACATGTTTTCTTGTGAGCGATTTTTTTTTCATTTTTGTCATTATAATCAGGTAAAAACAAAAATTGCACAAGGAATAAACAAACACAGTCAGAAATGTTTAGATTTTTTAGATTTATGATCTGTGAATCACTCTCTCAAAGTAGCCATTAAATATAGTCCCCTATCATGTTTTCGTTATACTGATCTCGGTAATGGCGTTCAAAGTCCAATACATTTTGATGAGCACCCATTGAATTTGTTGAGATGCAAATCAAGGATATGGACTTTCAGAGACATTTTGCATCCTTTGTGCAATAATGCGCTTTAGTGTCATGGCTGTGATAGAAACAGGAAACAAGGAAATTTTGCGAAACCTCCTTGAAAACCCTTGAGGAATAATACCATTTTTGAGTCACCAATGACCTCCCATCCATAGTTGTCATACTTTAACGCACACTTTGGCTCTCAAGCAACTACTATTGCATGATAAACCCAAAAAATAATTTTCAACCCAGAACAAGGATAAAATTGAAAATTCGTTACATAGTGTTATGGCTAAAAAGTTTTTTTTTTAAATATATTTTAATTTGACTGATTATCACACATTTTAGTTACATAATTTATAACTATGTGAATATCAAATAATAAATCGCAACCATATTTTATTTTATTTTTGATAATATATAATAGAATATACAAACAAATACAAAATTTATTTAAAATTTGTATTTAAAATATATTTAGTCTAAATGATTTACTTTTTAAATAATCTCTAAGACAGGTTATATGTTGTTGATTGCCTTATCATTGATTTCAAGATCATACTGTGATGTTTGGATGATATCTATGACAACTTTAATAGAAAGGTAAATATAAACATCTAATATTTAATAGAAAGGTAAATTTAAACATCTAATATAACATTTTAATTAGATTTAAGAATAAATGAATAATTAAATATCTATTTAACATAGTGAACATAGTATTGGTTATCACTAATCAGATATAATATCAATAATCAAATATAAGTTAAATTTCATCATCAAAATTTAACAGTTTTTAATTATTAATATTAACAGTATTTAGTCAATTGGTTTACACAAAGAAATTAAAAAAAAAGCATTACTCTCCTTTGAGTATAAGCATTAAAAATAAGTATACAAAGTTAATTAATATCAAAATATCAAATCTACTTACTGTTAGTTAAAAATCACTTACTGTTAGTTAAAAATCACTTACTGTTAGTTATAAATCACTTACTGTTAGTTGAAAATCACTTACTGTTAGTTAAAGTAGGTATAATATGTATATAAGTGTTATAAAAATATTCATAAAGCAAAATTTACATTCAGCCTAATGTATGGGATTTACTGTTTATTTTGCGCCCTTAAAACTGAAATATATTGTCGACGAGCGTGATTATGTGAGCTCATCATTAGACTATTAAGAGCGATTGTTAGGATTGCAAATTGGTGTTGACCAATTTGCATTTCTAACAATTTCTGAATCCGCACTTGTAAAAAGTTTTTTATTAAACATCTTTCGTTTGTCTATTTTAAAATTATTATCTTCTTGACAATCCATTTGAAGAAAAAGTTCTTTACATTTCTAATTTAAAGTTTACATCTGAATGCGTTATTTATCTTATTTTATATTTTTTATTATGTATTCTTATTGATCTTGTTTTAAAGATTTTTATTTGCAATTGTTTTGATTTGTTGACTTAATAATACTATGTTAACTATTTTAATATTTCTTGTTTTAATGATAATTTAATTGTTGAAATGAATTCATATTTAAATGTTTTCTCAATGTTAAAACATTAATAGAACTTTTAAACTATTCTATGTAGCATAAAAAAGTCTTCTAATGTTTCATAAAAAGTATGTACAAATAAACATTTTAACCATTTTTATGAAACTAGTAAAAGTTAAAAACATATTTTTACTATATGTAATGTTTTTATAAAATATTTTTACAAAATAAAAAGTTAAAAACGTTTATTATTATATCTAATAAATGTTGATTATTATAACTAACAAAATGAAATTTAAATGTATCTTATAAAAATCTTTTATTTATTAAACATTTTTGAATTAATGTTTTTAATTTCATTAATAAGTATGTTAAAAAGGTTCTGTTTAAAAAATATGACTTTTAAAATTTTATTTTTTTATTTTTGAACTACCCAAAAACATCTGTTAACTTAAAGTACAATTAAAATTTTATTTTTTTATTTTTGAGCTACCTAAAAACATCTGATAACTTAAAGAACAATTAAAATTTTTTCAAAATCAAATTTAACTAAAGAGCAATTCAAGTTTTTAGTATTTCTTGATTTAATTTTGTTGTTTTTATCATAACTTTAAATTTCCATTTATACATTAAAACTTTCCACTTATTGTTTGTATGTGAGGGAAACCCGGATTCTAATTTAAACGGAATGACCTAAGTTATTATTTAAAAAAGTATTATTTTCAGTACTTTAATTAACAAAATCTTTTTATTAAAAGTTTTAAATAACTAATATAACTAATAGTTTTCTCCCGCCCAATTTCTTGAGACAAGTGCAGTTTTATAGTTTTGTTATTAGGTTAGCAAGCATTGTTTATTGTGACCGTAAGTCTAAAATATTCCCTTTATGTGCGTGTTTCATATGTGCGAAGCAATTGTTCCCACTTTATAATAAGGCCTTATTATATTATATTATTAAATTTATATTTTTATATATATATATATATATATATATATTTTATTTTAATGAGCTGCTTTTGAATTGCTTACAATGGTTTGATTAGATCAAACCATTGTATGTTGCAAAATCTAAAATTTTATAAAACATTGTAATTGGCTATCCGTTACTCTTTCCACTGCTTGAGTAGCATCTGACAACCTGGTCTAACATGTTAACTTCAGGTTTATATTTGTTGCTATCCAGAATGATTCATAGTTTTTCATTTTGGTCAATAATGGTTGATAATAATATGACTGGTTTATTTTTCTTAGGCACATATGAAACTAACCATTTTGAAAACACAAAATAATAAAGTAATCTGGTCTGTAAATTAAAATGGTCCTAATGTGCTCATTTTATTTTCTAGCAAAGTGTGAGATGATTGCAAAAAAGTTTTACTCTGTTATGTGTCTGCTATTTGATAAGATAGTTCCAATAACTACATTTTCTTACATTGTGTACTCTATTTACTTGACTAGAATATAATTGGTGGCTTATACAATAAGAATATAATTGTTGGCTTATACAATAAGAATATACTTGGTGGCTTATACAATAAGAATATAATTGGTGGCTTATACAATAAGAATATACTTGGTGGCTTATACAATAAAAATATAATTGGTGGCTTATACAATAAGAATATAATTGGTGAATATAATAAGAAGATTAAGATTACTAAATATGTTTTTCTTTGATTTCTAATTCTCATCAAATCGAAATGCATTGTTGCAAGTTAATAAGTTGATCTATTTGCATTGAAAATTGTGTTTCTGTTGTTACCTGTACAACTTCTTTATATGATACTAAAATATATTTTTAAGTTTCCAATACACAAATCTTGTTGCAATTATAAATTAACTCTTGGAATAGTAAAGAAAGTCCTTGATGTTTTAATGTTGAGTTCATTATTTGCTTATTTTTTAGTTATTTTAAGTATAGGGTATTATTGTTTAAAGAGTAAATTGTACCATTCATACATTACAAATTGTATTGCATTGTAACAACTATAAGATGCTTATGTCACTTTTTCTTTTTATGTCACAAATATTAGATAAATGATAAAAACTATTATTTTCAAAATATGTAAAATATTTTGTACATTTTTTAAACACTAAGTTTTCTTTAGAAATAAATTTATATTTAGATAGGGTCTCAGTTTTTAATTTGAATTTAAAGGTTTGGTTTTTGTTTAGTCCTAAGTCTCAAAATTTTCATTATCACATCATATTTCACATTAAATAACTTATTATCACATCATATTCACATTAAATTACTTATTTAAAAACAGTCACAATTTTAGCCTAATTTTGTGTATATTTAACACAAAAAAATCTCAATCATTCTGGTTTATTTTGTGTATATTTACCAAAAATCTCAATCATCCTGGTTTATTTTCAGGACAATTATATCCAAAGATAAAATTGGCTTTAAGGAGAATATTGGTCAATTTGTAACAGCAATGCCATTGGTAAGGTTTATTTTTTCAATTTCATTTTTTTCAATTTCATTTTTTCAATTGATTTAATATTTATGAATTAGTCATAATGAAAGAATCCAAAAAAATAAAGAAATTAAATGAAATAAATATAAATATACACTACCGTCCATAATTATTTGAATGTTCGTATTTTATGATATAAAATATCAAAGTTTTATTTACTATTAGTAGAAAACTGAAAATAAAATGAATTACATGTTATCTTTCTACTTATTATGCTTACAAAAAAATTAATATATAAAAACCCATTACATTAGTTTATAATTTACTTGCCTTTTAATCACCCTTAAAGACAACAACCACCATTTGTGGCGCATTCTACTTAACGACTTATCCAATTTGTTGAAGTCAGTTTTATGCAAATAACATAAATCTTTTACACATTTTATGCATCATTAGGCATCAGTTTTTAACATAACTTTTAACACCTCCTATAAAAACCTGAAAGGAGAGAAATCTTGTGATTGGGGAGGCTATTCAAAATTTTTGAACTCAGTCAAATAACTTTATGTTATTTGACTGAGTTTGAGAAAATGAGAAATATGTTTTGGATTTTAGCTTTAAGTCATTTTCTTCTGAAAAATTAAATGGCTTCCTGTTAATCCATCTTTTAAAAGGTTTAGCATGATTTTTTAAGTGTACAAGTAAACTACTTTTGTTATTACTCCTCTATTTTTACAAAGTCACCTGTGGCATTCCAACCAAAACAGCTCCATACCTTAACAGTGCATCCACCTTGTTTTACATCTTATTTCATCATCAATATTCTGCAATTTTTAAAAAAATTGAAATTATATAAAAAAAAAATTGATGTCATTTAAATAATTATGAGCGGTAGTGTATATGAAGACCACATGAATAAACAGCAGTCTCGTTTAAAAACTTTTAAAAAGTATATATAACAAAAAAAAAGCAATGCAAAGAAAGCTAAAAATCAGGATAAAATTGTTATGGTTTGATTAATTCAATATAAAATAATGTTTTAATCTTTATTCATTATTATTAAATTAGTTAAAAATCTTTTTTATTAAATTATATTTATAAAAATATTATGACATGTAGTATGAGTAGTACTTTTTGTATTTGTTGAAAAATGCGTTTAATTTTTATTTAGATTGCTATTGTGAATCAATTTCTGAAGGTAAATAGTTTTAGAATTATACAAATCATCATCATCATCATCATCATCATCATCATCATCATCATCATCATCATCATCATCATCATCATCATCATCATTATCATCATCATCATCATTATCATCATTATCATCATCATCATCATCATCATCATCATCATCATCATCATCATCATCATCATCATCATTATCATCGTTGTTATTATTATTATCATCATCATCACCATCTTCATCGTCATCATCTCTACTTTAATAACTTATATAATATTGATATTAAAGAGTAAATTGACAGTAAATAAACTTTAATTAAAACTTTTTTAACTAGAAGCAATTTTTATTATTTAGTATGGTATCTCTGCATTAAAATTAAATTTGAGGACTAGATTAACTCTGAAGATGCAAGATCATTATTTAGAGTATGTGTTTTTCTCGTTTTTAAAATTTTATTTTATTTTAATAATGAAAACTTTTAAAATTTATGTTTCTGTGATGCAATGATTGTAAACAGGTGATTAACAAAAAAAAGGCAAACAAAAATGCGTTTGTCAAGGCCCATTAAGCTGATGTTATTGATTTTAAAAACACTTTGCTCTTATATTTGCATTTTTTTTGTTAAGCAAAACTTATGTGACATCTTTATTAGTATGTGTTATTATAAGCATTAAAAGATCATATACGGTATCATACTATTTATTTCTTTTCTCTATAAGTGATATTTCGGCTCATATAGTAAAAGCCATTATCAAACTAAGAAACTGTTAAAAAAAAAAAACGTTTAAAAAAATTATAATAAATGTAAACCAATGATGTCATTGCAACGTCAGATATTCAACATTTTTTAATTTTACAAAAAATGGTTTCCAATGGTGAGTCATCACCAAATTGTCATTGTCGCGATTTAAAACATTGTACACGTTGTATTTCAATAGCCTCACGAATTTTTCTGGTGTAGTTGTTTGAAATAATAGAAAGCGTTTTAGAGTTCTCCCAGTTTATTTTGCCATTACAATGTTGTGAGTGTTCTACTATTCCTGATGTTTCCCAGTTGGCTTTTGTAACATTATTTTTATGTTGTTGAATTCGTGTGAAAATCTTTTTTCTTGTTTCATCAATATAACATGCACCACATGTGCAATTAAGTTGGTACACTCCTGGATGACTATTCGGAAGCAGTTTAGACTTGTTACAGCAAAGTATATTGATTAAGGGATTACCAAAACAGAAGACTGTTTTAATGCCGACTTAATGACTTAATGCTCGAGCTAAAAAACCTTTAAAAATACCAACATCAATATTCGGTGAAATAGATGATTTCAATTTTTTAAGTTTGTAATTGCATCTTTATAGTGTATGGAAAACTCATATTTGTGAAGAGAGTGATTGGTTGAAATACAAACATCTAAAAAATTTAATTGGTGTTGAGCATTTTCGTATTCGCATGTATATTGGATAGATTTATCTTGTGAATTTAAAGTGTTAAAAAAGAATTTGCGTCATCAATATTAGTAAATCGAGCATGGCTATCATCAACGTAACGTTTATAAGTTTTTAGTGCAATATTGACGTTTTGAGCCTGTTGAATAGCATTAAATTCAATATGTTGTAGATATGCTTCTGACAAGAGGGCCATTATGGATAGACCTATTGGACCAAAGTTTTTTAAAGTATATATTTTGTCTTCCCATAAAAAATAACACTTACTAATGCAGAGATCAATTAGTTTATGAATGTCTACTAAAGATAACTTATTTCGTTGTATTAGATCATTTCTATCTTTGTTTAGCATATCAATAATTGTAATAGTTGCTTTATCAAGTGATACTGATGGGTATAAATTAATAACATCAAATGACACTTGAACTTCGTCATTAATAAATTATTCTTTTGCTGTTGATACAAATGATGATGAATTTTTAACACAGCATTCATTTTTATTTAAAGTTGGTTGTATGATCTCAACAAGGTGTTGCGAAAGTTTATGATGTGGTGTGCTGATTGTTGAGACTATTATTCGCATTGGATAACCTTTTTCACTTTTGTGTGGTTTGATACAACCATACAAATGGAATTGCATCTGAAGGATATATTTTACCATATGTTTTTTTATCTAATTTTTTATCTTTTTTTATTTACTAAGGGTACGTTGAATAAGAATATTGCTGTTGGTAATTTTAAAGGTTTTTTAGCTCGAGCATACAAAATTTGTTCAGAACGTTATGTTTCAGGATGAAATTAATTTTCTTATTAAGATTTTTACTGAAAATGGACATTCTTATAAACAGTATTCAGATATTGCTAAAAATTATAAATACTCCACAAATCCATCTTGTTCTCAAAAATTTGATACCAAAAAACTAGTTATTTACCATGGGTCCCAAAGTTAAACCTTGTTCTTAGAAAAGAATTTCGTAAAGTCGGCGTTAAAACAGTCTTCCGTTTTGGTAATCCCTTAATCAATATACTTTGCCGTAACAAGTCTAAACTGCCTCCGAATAGTCATCCAGGAGTGTACCAACTTAATTGCACATGTGGTGCATGTTATATTGGTGAAACAAGAAAAAAGATTTCCACACGAATTCAACAACATAAAAATAATGTTACAAAAGCCAACTGGGAAACATCAGGAATAGTAGAACACTCACAACATTGTAATGGCAAAATAAACTGGGAGAACCCTAAAACGCTTTCTATTATTTCAAACAACTACATCAGAAAAATTTGTGAGGCTATTGAAGTACAACGTGTACAATGTTCAAAACCTAAAGAAAATGTTTTAAATCGTGACAATGGCAATTTGGTGATGACTCACCATTGGAAACCATTTTTTGTAAAATTCAAAAATGTTGAATATCTGACGTTGCAATGACATCATTTGTTTACGTTTATTATAATTTTTTAAAATGGTTTTATTAGTTTGATAATGGCTCTCACTATATGAGCCGAAATATCACTTATAGAGAAAAGAAATAAATAGAATGATATCGTATATGATATTTTAATGCTTATATATTATATATATATATATATATATATATATATATATATATATATATATATATATATATATATATATATATTAACGACATTAAGTTTAAAATGCTTCGTGGAATGGTATTGCCACCTTAATTTAATTCTGTTCCACAAATAAAATTAAAGTTAATGTTCCCCATTAAAATATAGCATTTTAATGTGCATTTTAAGGTTGCTCAATACGTACTTTAAGTTTTGCAAGATAATTAAAAGTAATTAAAAGCCATATATGTTAAAAATTAGTTAGTATACAAATTAAGAAATGTAATACATATACACAATTACAAAGACAAATACAAATATATAAAACATCAACCCTAATACAAAATGCCAATACCACGTTAAAATTTGTAACTAATGTACTTACAACATTTTACATTTAAAATTGTTTATACGTAAGCTATGAATATAAATCCTGCATGTACGAATATGCTTTCGAACTTTGTGCCTTGCCAGCATTTTCCAAATCAGTCATTTGTGGCGGAATGTTAAGACCGTATCTGTTTAGTTCGTGAGTATGCTTTACCGTCTCTAATTGTATTATATACAGTTCTTGTTCATTTTTTTTTCGCTGTTCCGCAATGAGCATGCCATTTTCACGCACCATCAACAGTTGTTCTTCCAGTAACGTGGATTGAAGCGACATTTCTTTTGTTGTTGCAATTTTAAGTTTTTTAGGAGTCGGTGTTATTAGAGATGTAGTTGGTGCCTGGCTTGCATTGTTTTTCTACGCCGCAAATGGTTCCTCTTGTTGGATTAATTGAACATCCTCTTCATTTTCAAGGCTATTATTAAAAACACATGAGACATCATTGCCAGAATTTAAGTTTATTGGCTGCAAATTGTTTGTCCCAGTTCCACTTTCAACTCCAGACTGGATTCCAATCAAGGAATCACCTGTGGATCCAAACATGATGTCAAACATTTTTTGAACAAAAAGTGGTGGTTCATTAACGGGTGGACCGCCACCAGTTTTGTGCTTCCGTATAAGTGCTCCATATTTTCAGGTATCATCTTTGATGTTGCTTATTTTATTTTGAATTTCAGTTTCACTCCTTTTATTGTCAACTCCCGCATTGTTAAACTTTATATGTAATTTTTGCCACGATTCTGATTTGCTGGTAACATTTGTAGTAGAACTAAAGGCTCCAACAATAACTGCATGATATGGTTCATAAAGTTCCACCAAAATGCACGCGTCTTTTTTGGACCAGTTTGCATTTCGCAGTTTTTTGCAGTTAGTGGGTGCAGAATGATCGTTTGAATTAGACATGGTGAAACACAATTACAAATTTATAAAATGATAAACTGCAAATAATTTTCAACAAATGATTATGAAAATACTTTTTGTTCACCAGTAACACAGTTAACAATGTTTGTCTTCAAAAGTTTTTTATGACGTACTTATAGCGATTATTTTATCAAAATCGTTATCAAATACTTTTGATAACGATTTTGATAATTATATTTATTGTCTATAATAAAAACAAAGCCTATTTTGCATTAGATGCTATGATTTTTATAATTGTATTGTAACCAACAGCAATTTTATTTATTATGTTTGTATTCTGCTAATTGACACCAAAGTGCTATTACATGAAATAAAAAAACAATTTATAAAGCGTCTACAAAAACTAAATTGCTTAAATACAACTTTTATTGTGAGCACTGTAAATACACTTATTCGCAACCATTTATGACTCGTGTTTTAAATAAGTGGCATTATTAATAAATTATTATCATACATTTAATATTTCCGTAATATGGCTTTTGTTCCCTTGCTTGCAAATGATCTGCAAAGTAAAAAAATCAAAACATATCCTACACGCTTAAATCCTTTAACTGACTACGATGATGATGAATTTTTTAAGCAATTTCGTTTTACCAAACATACGTTTACCTATATATGCAGCCTTATTAGAAATGAATGTGAGCCACAAACGCATCGCAGTAAATCTCTGTCTACAGAACAACAATTACCGATTACATTGCGTTTTTATGCAACAGGATCATTCTTAGAACTCATCGGCGACTCAACAAATAAATTAGCTAAATCAAGTGTCAGCCGCACAGTAACTCATGTTACCGATTTATTAGCACGGCTGATGGACAACTTCATTTCCGTCTGACATTGCATCTCAACAATCCATTCAACAAGAATTTCTTGAACGTTTTGGCTTTCCGGGAATTACTGGAGTTGTGGATGGAACCCATGTTAAAATTCAAGCACCATCTGGAGATCAAGAACCATACTATGTTAACCGCAAAGGTTATCATAGTATTAATGTTCAAGCTATTTGTAATAGCCAAGGTCTATTTCTGAATATTGTTGCAGATTGGCCTGGAAGTGCACACGATTCCCGTATTTTTTCAACCAGTGTAATTGGAATGGAGTTGGCTAATGGTGTCAAAGCTGGAATTATCTTAGGTGATAGTGGCTATCCATGCCATAGTTGTTTATTAACGCTTATTCTTCATCCTGTTTCTCCACAAGAAGTTAAATACAACATTGTCCACAGGAAAACAAGGTGTATTATAGAACGCACGTTTGGAATTTTAAAACGAAGATTTCACTGCCTTCATGGCGAGATAAGAATGAAGCCAGTGAAAGTTTGTCGCATTGTTGCTGCATGCGCTGTTCTTCACAATATTACAATAAAGCAATCTGAACAATTTGAATTACCAGACAATGAAATAAGTACGGATGATGAAGATGACCAAGATCATGTTACTTGTAATGATGGTCATGATGGTCAGTTATTTCGAAGGTTGTTTATAGAGGAACATTTTTCATAATGATACTACGTATAATATTACAGTTATGTAAGATTTAACATAGTGATTTGGTAATAAAATAAATCAATAAATGTATTTGGACATTTGGTATTAATTTCTTTAATTTTACAGAATTTCTTTAATTTTTATAACTTTGCCAACATATTTTTAAATATACACTTTGGCATATCATGTAAACGCTAGAATACACCATTAATTTAGTTTAAGAGACCACTTTGCTAAGGCTTCAAATAATTTGTTTCGTGGAACAGAAAATTAAAGCTTTAATTGGGCACTTTACTAAGGCGGCATTAATTACATTTAATGGACCATTAAACTCTTAATGGTCCATTAAAATAGACTTAATGGGCTCCTTAACTAAGTGCCCCATTAAGATACTTAATGCACCATTAAACTATTAATGGTCCATTAAACTTAAGTTGTTTCCTGGAACCGGCCCCAGATGTCTAACTTGCGTGATTTTATATATTACATATTTTAGACGAAAATTGAACGTGCTTTTTTTTGTTTACAAATTTAATACGCTACTTGTAATAAGAGCAAAAGCTATAACCAACAAACAAAATGAAAGTTAAAAATGTATGTTGAGAGCGTCTAAAGTTCCCAATAAATTAAAGATCATTCGAAAAACTCATTTTAATAATTATTAATAACATTTTAATAATTATTGATAATTTTTGTCATGATTTGTTGAAAGAATTTCATGAGATTTATTAAAATATATCATATTTCATAGAAATACTCTAAAAGCTTCTGTCATTTCACTTGGAACTTTTTTATTTGAAACTTTAATTCTTATCTAGTTAGAGAGGAAATAAAAATAATTTTAAATAAATTAAATTTAAACCTAAACTGTTACTTTTTAATTTTCTCTTACACTTTTAAATAAATAGAATTCATATTCACAACATATTTACTTTATTTCTAAGAAAAGAAAAGTTATACAACATAAAGCCTTATATTATAAAAAATATGTATTATAAAACATTTATTTTTGTAAACAAATGATAATAGTTTAAAAGATTTACGGCTTTACAGATGTGGCTCCGAGAATGAGCCATAATATTAAAATAATAGTTCATTTGATAAAATATTCTTAAAAAAATTATGCTAGATATCTTAAAACGCAACAAATTGTAAATAATACAATTCCTAAAACATTTCAACAGAATACTCTAGAACTTTATTTCGCTTAGTCAATGTGTTTTTTGAACCAATAGAATTAGTTTGTTCGCAAATTTGGCGGGTTTTTAGTGTTCGCGAATATTCTTTTTATTCTTCCGCAAGATGTTTTAAGAACATTCCAGTTAATTATGTTTCCATGTATGTCTGTAAAATAAAAATTAATATATATTAATTTTTTAATTTTTAAGCCCCCGCCATAATATATATTGGATGTTATAATAATGGAAATATAAATAATGAAATAAGATCACCTCAATACCAAAAAATACATTTTTGAAAATCAGAGAAAAAATGCGTTAATAATTTTTTTAATATGCGTTAATAATTTTTTTAATATTTACAAAGTAAATTAATAAAAGTGCATTACTATTTAGGTTAAAAATTATTTTATCTAATATTTTGAAAAAAAAAAACTTATAACAAAAAAAATCAAAATACGTGTTCTAGAAGATTATTTAAAAAAAGTTGTGCAAATAAAATACTATTTTGTTTTTTATTTTATTTTTGTTTTTAATTTTATTTTGTTTTTAATTTTATTTTGTTTTTAATTTTATTTTGTTTTTAATTTTATTTTGTTTTTAATTTTGTTTTACAAACACATTTTAGAACTTTAAAATAGAATAAAAATGAATATGATTTGGAAATTGTATGTAAAAAATAACAATCGGTCTTTTAAACAAAAAAAAAAACTATGACATTATGCACTAAAACTCCTATAAATTAAACGCGCTTGAATAAATTATCAAGTCTGTATAATGCCCCTGGAAAATCACGTTTATTTTACATACTCAAAATACCGCAGAAAATGGAGAAGACAAGCTTTGACTAAAATAACAAGATTTATTTTTCTTGGTACACATTTATTAATTAGTTTTAATCAAAAAAATTTGCTCAGACGTTTTTTTTTAACATTCTCTTTAATATGAACACAACATGTCTCGGGACTTGGTAGTCCCTTTAAACAAAATTCAGTTCTACAAAAAAACTTATTAAAGAAATAAAGTTACAGATACAGTGCCAGATAAAGTTCTCACCTTGTACGCATTTTTATTGTGTGAGTTAATAATATTGGTAAAGTTTAGAAGGCAGCTATAACTTACTTTTGCGAAACTTATGTGTTTTTGGAAAATACTTTTCAATAAGATTTAAAAAAGTTTTTGCGACATTGGTTTTTACATTTTGTGAAAATGGAGGATTAAACCAAATAATGTTTCGTGATCTTCATTTTGGTTTTGATGGGGCAAAATTGTTTTAGAAAGTAATCTTTTCATTAAACCCACTTGCTGCTAACACGTTGTTATAAAATGATGTTGAAAACTTCCTTGCTAGACGAAATATTGCTAATATGGTTAGATATCATAGTTGGTATGGATTTAATAATACTAGGAGGGTGGTTAGAATTTTTGTTGATGTATAATGGATGGTCACCTGGTTTTCTGTATGGCTGGAATGTAATTTCTAACAGGTTGAAGGTAACATCAAGACAGTTTACAATTTTTATATTAGTTTTTATAGTAAGTTTTAGATTAAATTTCTCCTTAAAAAGATGAATGATGTTTTTCTTTATTCTCTTGGATTGCGGAAATGAAAATAACAAAGCCCATCATCTCTATATAATCCAAACATGAAAATAACAAAGCCCATCATCTCTATATAATCCAACGGTTTGCAACCCATAGTCTTGACTTAAAGTATGTAAAATAAAGAGTCCAACTAACTCACACACTTCAGCCCCATCGTAACTTCCCATAGTGACATCAAAATTAGGATCACCAAGTTTTTTGACCCAGATACTATTTTGTTCAGTTAACAGTAATGATTTTCTTGAGTGATTAATAATATCTAATGTGTTTTCTAAAATTTCTGTAAATTGCTTGGCGTGAATAAGTGAAATTTGAAGTAATTCTTTAGAGATAAAAGAATAGAACTCTTCAATATCAAACTTGATGAAAGTTCAGTTGTGTTTGTTTTTAATATTGCAGAACCAATTTATTATGTCATCTGTATTATGTCATTGATTTACAAGGGTGGCTTTCCTCACTTTATTGTTGATATTTTTTAGTAAAATTTTACTAACCTTTCCAAGTTCTGGTTTAGATGGATTAATTAATTGATATTTAAAATTGTTGGCAAAATCATCTTTGTGATCCTTTATCGTTATAAACGCAGAATTCATTGCAAGACATTTCATCCTGTTGTCAATGCCTAAGTTTTTAGCAATTACTTTAGCCGTATTATTAATGTTATTGCATTGCAAATTATTAGATTTTTTGTAAGTTCTGGTTATGTTTTCATTGAAAAGTTTATTGTAAGAAGATTTTTCAAGCTCATAAATATTATGTGATTTATCCGCAAAAAGAAACATTTTTTCTGATAATTTAATTTTGCAAATGTCATTATTTAGTTGTTTTTAAAACTGATTGTAGGAATTTGTAAATGAAATATTTTGTATCATTTTAAGTAGATTAAATGAAATACTTTGTATCATATATATATATATATATATATATATATATATATATATATATATATATATATATATATATATATATATATATATACACATTCTTGCATGACTTTTCATTCACAATCTTGCATGACTTTTCATTCATCTTTATATTGCATATGTTCATCTTTATATTGTTCATGTTCAAAATATCATTTATCTTTGTATATGTTATAAACGAATATACTGACTTGTTTGTTTCTATTTGGTTGTGTAATTGTACATTTTGAAAATATGAATATACATAAGAAAGTTAAAAGTTTAATTGCAGATATTTAGTGAAAAATGTTCGGTACTATGCTTTTCATTTTTGTCTTAAAAACTTATAAACTAACATATTTACTATTGTTGTATATATTTTTAATTTTATTTTAGTGGTATGACATATTATAAAGTAAATAACTTGGATAGTAGAATTTCAAATCCAGACCAACTTTTAACACAAGTAAGTGACTAGGTTTTAGATTGTTTGATCTAGGGTTAGGTTATGAATATTTATTGTTTATATATCTGTGTTTCCATTTGTGTGTGACTGTATATGATAAAAAAAAAATTAAAAACAACCATGCAAGAGTAAACATATTAGGATGTTTTAAAAACAACCATTTTTTTAAATAGATGTTCTCTTACCTTTAAATGTGTTCACAAAAATCAATAGTGGAAACTTTAAACTTTTTGTTATTGTCATTTCACTTCAAACTACTCAGTAATTTAAGTAATTGAATAAAAACATATTTTTTATATTATTTATTATCATTTATAACGTAAACTTACTGCAATAATACTTTGAAATGAATATGTTTGTTATAATACTAAAATGATTTAATTTAGGTTTTAAAAAAATATTTTTTTTAAAGCAAAGATGTTCTTAATAACTTTGAACGAGCAATTGACAATATTATGACAATATTGACTATAATGTCTTTAAATATTTATGGTTTGAATTTAAAAGTGAAAAGTCAAAAAAAAAAAAAAAGATGAAAGAGCAAAAGTAACAAGATGAAAAAAAAGAGTTTGATGGTCAAAATTTTATTTAAAAAAAGAGAGTTTTGAAAATTGATTTTTATAAAGATTTATTTATAGGATTTAGAAAGGTTTTGTGATTCAATTGTAGAACTGTATTCAAATGTTACAAAGGTAAACAGGTTTTTATGTCTTCAAAGTAGTTTAATTTTAATGTGTTCATTTATTTTAATTAATTTTTATTTTATTTTGTAAAAGCCACTTCTGGACATTTTTCTGTATGTAAAAACACTTGTTGCAACAGCTGGGTATAAGGTAATAGCTTATGAGCATTATTGTTGCGTTAGTTGAAGCTGTATATATATATATATATATATATATATATATATATATATATATATATATAAATATATATATATATATATATATATATATATATATATATATATATATATATATATATATATATATATATATATATATATATATATATACATACATATGTAATGTTTTTATATACATGCATATTATTTTTGTTTATTATATATGCTGTTTTATATGTTATATTGTTTTAGATAAAGATGATATTATTTTTGTTATTAGCTGAAAACATTACTTTGTTTTATTTAATATTTATTTTGTTCATATTTTGCCTAACATTTAATGCGAATTAAATAAATATATTTTTTAATTTTTAAAATTGTTTTTAGACTCCTCTTGCCATGATTGGTTATTTAATGATCTCTGGGGTCATCCTTACTAGGTTCAAAATTTTTACTCTCAACTTTGAAATTTTCTAAAATATATTGTTCATGTTTTTTCACAACTTTTATTGTATATATTGTTTATACAAGTGTTTTATTATGTTTTATTACCCAGCAAACATTGTTTTAGTGGATTTGCAGTGGACCTATGTAGGCATATATAGATCTATATAGGCTATGTACCACCATTAGTGGCATCTGCTATAAATGGAAAGCCGAAAACTTTCCTATATGTTAATTGTGGCTAGATGTTGGCCTGCCACTTTTGGTGGCTGCAACTAATGGCCCACTAAGTAAACGATGAGCAAAACTCCAGCGGTCTACTCAAAATATAGGTCCAATAAAATTCCGCTAAAGAATGTTTGCTGGGTATATATAGTTTATATAGTTTTTTGATATATTATATTTTTGCATAATGTTTTTTACATTGCAATATAAAAATAAATGATTTAAGTCATTAGTATTGCATTATATAGCGTTATTTAAAAGCGCTATATAATGTAATACTTCAGCTTAGCACCTCTTTACTCTATCACTTCTGACCTTGCTGGCACTAAAGCCTATAACTTCTGCATTTCTCAACCTCTTTCTCAGTTAACTTTGTGACTCGTTTTCCTGACAATCCTAATCATTCACTCCTTGATTTATATCTTGTCTCTGATCCTACCTTGTGTTCAGTTTCTCTTTTTTCTCCTCTAGGTGGTTCTGACCATGTAATGATCTCTATAAATCTTTCATCTCGTACTTCTTTTTTGAACTCACCCTATCATACTTACTACTACCCTAAAGATGACTGGGGTTCTTTTTGTAATTTTTTTTGTGATGGTCCTTGGGTTGAAGTCTTCTCTCTCTCATCTGATAAATGCGCCTCCTTATGTAACCTCCTGGATTCAGACAGGAATGAAAGCTTTATTCCTTTTTGTTGGTTTCAAGTCAAGCCTCATTCTACTCCATAGTTTTTGCCTTCTTGTGCAGCTTCTATATTTAATTGTAACCATTTTTTTTATCTTTTTCAAAATAGCAGCTCTTGAGAATAAAGTGCTATTTATTATTGCAAAGGTGTTGTCTGATGCAAAGCTCCATTATTTTCAGTTCACTAAATCTCACATCTCTAAAAAAAATTAGAAATATTTCAGCTAAAAGCAAAATTAAGATGAAAACATTTTCCGGATTTTTTCCGGATATATTACTAAAATAATTTTCCGGATTTTTAAAATATGGTCTGCATGATCTATGCTTGAATCTTGTGGCTGTTTTCTTCCTTCCATTCCAGGTTAGATTAATTATAATTATTCCATTGTTAGACATTCAAATCACTCCAGCTTCTGTTTCTAAAGTCACATCTCAATTAAACTCTTCTATGACTTATCCTGTCATAGTCTTACAAAATTGTTCTTTAGAGCTCTCTTTAATTCTCTTTAAATCATTTCATAAGTGTTTGACTGAGTCTTGTTTTCCTACTTGCTAGAAAATGGCATCTGTTGTTTTAATTTTCAACTCTGGTGAACATTCTAACCCTTTCTAGTTATTGTTTGATCAGTCTTCTTACTGCTTTAAGCAAGGTCTTTAAGTCTTTGATGAACAAATTTCTCACTTTTCATCTTTAGTCAAATAACATACTGTTAGACAATACGGATTTCAATACTCTGTGACTGAAAGTTTTTATTGTGCATTAGAATGGAGGTGGCAAGGCTAGGGCTATTGCTCTTGACATATCTAAAGCTTTTAATAAAGTGTGGATTGCTGGATTTCTCCACAAGCTTACTTCTTATAGTGAATCTGGAAAAGTTTTTGAAATAATCAAATCATTTCATTAAAATCATCCTCAAAGGCCAAACACTCTTCATTTCCAGTAATTTCTGCTGTACCTGAAGGTTCTGTCTTTGGTCCTGTTTTGTTTATGATTTACATAAAGGATCTTCCTGATAGCTTTATATCTAAAGTAGATCTAATTGCTAATGACTCAATTTTATACTCCTGTGTTGACAAAAAATCTTTTCTTTTTGATACCTTAAAATAGACACCCAATCTTGAAATCTTACTTCTGTAACAGATTGCTTGCAGTGGCTTGTGAATTTTAACTCTAACAAAACTCAGTTATTTACTGCAAACAACAATTGCAATATTGCCAACATTCCTATATTCATGAATGGCAACCCTCTCACTGAGTCCTCCTCTTTACATCTTTTTGTTTACTGCTGACTTTTCATGGAAACCATATATTTAATCGATTGCTAAATTAGCATCTGCTAATGTTGCTTCTCTTTATTGTGCTCACCATTTTATTACTTCTGATTATATTCTCTACCTCTACCAATCTCTTATTCATCCCTGTATGGTTTTGGTAGTAGACAAAACTGCATTTTGTCTACTACCAAAGTGTAACAAGCTAAATGGAATACTGTTGTCATATTTTGGCTGGTTCTTCTAATGATGCTCTTTCTCTCTTAGACAAGGTCTAAAAATTTATTGTAAATGTAGTTGGACCCACTCTATCTGCTAAGCATGAACCTCTTTTCTATTGTCATAAAGTTGCATCTCTTTCTCTTTTTTACAAATACTATCATGGTTGCTGCTCAAAAGAGCTATCATCTCTGGTTCCATCGACTAAGACTCATTCTCACTTGACTTATCATTCAGCTAGTTCTCATTCATTTACTGTGTCTGCCTGCATGCTCTAGGAAAATTTATTTGTCTACTTTTTTTCCTTGCACTTCAACCCTTTGGAACTCTCTCCCATCTTTATGTTTTCCTTACTTATACAGTACACAACTTTTCAAGTCTTCTGTCAACTGTTTCCTTGCTCTATAATTCTATTTTTTTCTTTTTTTTTTTACTTATAGTAACTCCTAACTTAAAAAAAAAAACTTGTGGAAACAATTATTTATATATTTTCAAAATAAAATTTTGTCATAAATTCTGTTATATTTTAACTAGAATTTGACTGTGGCTTCTATTGTAAATTTAATGTAAAACTTTTTAGTTTTGTTATATTGGATGTCATCGGTATATCTCTATGATTTGATAGGGCTGTTCAAATTGTCAACTTATGTATTTATATCGTAGATTATAATGTATTTATTATAATTATTTTTTCAGGCTTAGAAGACCAGTTAGTAGGATGACTGCTGAAGAACAAAAGCTAGAGGGAGAGTTTCGATATGTCAACTCAAGGCTTATTACAAACTGGTATTTTAATTTAAGTTGCCAGTTCAATTTATGGAATCATATATATTTTTTTCTTAGTTTAAGACACGATTTATTAATTAAATATATTTGTTAATGTGGTATCCATTAATTAATTTTGTTTATAGAGTTTTATTTGTTTTTAGTGAAGAGATAGCATTTTATCAGGGTCAGGGTAGAGAAAAAAAAACCATGCGTGAATCATTTGAAAGAGTAGTAAGTAGTAATTTTTTTTTTAATTATCATAAATCTCTAAAAAATCTTTTCTGTTTTCATAATCATGCTATCAATAAAATTTAAAAATTATAAAAATTAACACATATTTATAGAATCATACATATCTATAAAATCTGTCTACAAAATCTGGTGTTATATCAACCAAAACAATTAGTGAATTTTTTTATCCAAATAGAAAAAGTTTGTCAGTTATTCAAATCTGATTATTTTTATTGTCTAATCTGTCTTGTCTGGATGTTACCTAAAAAAATTTGAGAGATTTAATCATCGACAGCTAATTGTATATCATGAGAAACACAATCTTTATATATAAATAGTTTAGTTTTAGTTTTCCACAGAATGTAAAGTAACAATATTTACTTACCAAAATTTACATTTTCACATAATGCATTTAATGTGACAATATGGTTTACGTTTCACATGATTAAAAATATTACACAAGTTGTTTTTATTTAAGAGATTAAGATGTGGTCTGATTTTTGGTTTGAGTTGAATAGATTTCACAAATTTTATAAAAATCTATCAAGTCTTGATTTAAAAGAGTTCAAAGACTGTGCATTGACTACATGAATTGGTAATCCATTCCATTCATTTGCAATGCGGTTAATAAAGAACACTTGTCAAGATGAAGAATATGTGATATTTTATTTTTCGATTCTTAGATTATGACCTCCTATTGTTGATGCTGGTCGGTTTGCTTGTAATGACGGTGCAAATTGTTGTGGTTTAAGCCATGTAATGTGATCTATGTTGTTCAACAATTTGTACTCTTGTATTAGATCGCTTTGCAAATGCCTAGTCTTCAACGTAGTTAATTTGGATAGTCATAACACAGATGTTTGAGTTGTAACACAGATGTTTGAGATTTTGTTCCAGTTTGATTGCACAATGTTGGACCTTTTCTAGTGTTTCAATCTTTCAAAGTAGGATATTATACAGGTATTGCAAACTCAATGTGAGGTCTAACTAGCACTGTGTACAGAATATGTATCATTTCTATATTTAGATGAGTGAAGATACGCTTGATGACTTTGAGTGCATTCTGCACTTTTGCTGCTGCTGCATTAACATAGCAATGCCATTTGATGTCTGATGAGATCAACACGCCGAGGTCATGTTCTACTATTTTTTGCCTAGTTTGTATTCAACACCATTTTCTGTTATCATATAGATGGTCTATAGGTTCTTTTTGTCAATGTGCATAACCTTGCACTTCTCTTTGTTTAACTCCCTTTGACATAATTGTCCATTCGACTAACTTGTTGATATCCTTTTGCAAACTGATGGTATTTGGAATGTTTTTATTTATCATTAGCTTGGTGTCATCAGCATAAAGTTTGCATATACATTGTAGTGTTCCTGATATTTCTTTGATGAATATTAAAATCAAAAGAGGCTTAAGAACAGATCCCTGAGGAACACCATTGAGGTTATTCAATCATGACGATAAAACTTCTCCCATTACAACGCGTTGCCTACAATTGATTAAAAAAACCTCAATCCATCTTAACAAAACACTGGATATCCCATATGTTTTACACTTGAGTAATAGCCTTTTGCACTCCATGTATGTTGTCAAAAATCCATTGTTTCCAGTAAGTTGATAACACAAGCCCTCTTCTTTACAAAATCGTTCTGTTGTCGCGATAGAGCATCATGTAGTTGCAAATGATCAGTGATTCCTGCACAAATAAATTCTTCCAAAATTTTGTATGGAACTGACGTTAAAGATACTGGTCTGTAGTTTAACGTTACATATGGGTTGCCCTTCTTTTTAGGATTCATTATGGGGTTATATTTGCTTCACTCCAACTATTTGTTATTGTGCCTGATTCATTTGTAAGGCTAGATTGCTAGAGGTTTTGAGAGTGCTGAGGCACATTGCTTAACTGCATACGGTCTCACCATATCGCAGCCCATTGCTTTGTTTTTTTCCAATTGTTCTAGTTTACTTTTTACATTCTTGGAATTTAACACACTCCTCCAGGCCCAGTCAATGTCTTCATCTATTACATCAAATTTCAGAAGCATTGTACCTCCCTCAGACACGAATACAGATTGAAAACTTTTATTTAGACAATTAATGTTGTATCCTTGTTGAAGGTTATTGTACCAGTGTTGTCTTTCAACATTTGCAATTTGTGTTTCAACTTTGTGTGTCTTTTTGCATACCAATAAAATATCCGAGAATCTGTCTTTATCTTGTCAACAATTAATTTTTCATACTTGCTCACTGATTTCTTTTTTTTCACTTTGTATTCATTTAACAGTTTAATATTTTTATGACTTGTTGCTCTTAGACGGCTCCATTTTGTCTTTTTAAGATGTATTAGTTGTCTAATTTCAGTCGAATCACATAGATTCTTTATGGCATTTTTCATTTTGTTTTATTTAGGGAAAATAAATTGCTGACACAAGCTGTTTTATTTTTCTAGGAAGATTTTATAACACTCATTTGCTAATTTTCTTTCAAACTCCTTCCCAGTCTATATGCCCTAGTGCTGCATTCATTCTTGTATAACCTTTTCTGTAGGTGTATGATTTATTTTTGTAAAAAAATATTTTTAGAGTTGCCACAAGACCCTTGAACATTTAAAGGGTCCCTAATATTTATTTAAAAAAAGTTCTTCAAATATAAAATAGGTCAACTTAGTACTCAAAAAAAGTGAAGTTATATTAAAGTCTTAAAAATCATTTGTTATATAAAAAACATATCAAGGCAAAAATATTTCTTTAAAAAATTGCGCTTTTTTATTTTTAGTTTAAAATCGAAAATAAAAATTTTTTCAATAAAAAGTTTTTTATTGAAAAAAATTTAGTATTTAAACATTTTTGTAGAAAAACTTTAGATTAAAAAATCTAAAGTTTTTCTACAAAACATTTACAATAATGTTTTGAAATTTTTATAAAATTTTGCTTTTTTTGAGTACCCGTGTTGACCTCTTTTTGAAGAATCTTTTTTACATATATATTAGGGACCCTTTAAATGTTCAAGGGTTTTGGGTTACCTCCAAAAATGTTTTAAATTCAGTGTTATTATATAGAACACATTTAGAGCTCAGACAAGGCAATTTTTAAAAATTGTTATATATATATATATATATATATATATATATATATATATATATATATATATATATATATATATATATAAACACATGCACACATCTATAGTATCTCTTATGGGGACAGATTTTACAAAAAAAACCAACACATACAGGGACATTAGCACTATGGGGGACATTTTATTGTACCCGTTAACTTTTTGTCCCCGTAAGCATCGTTTTTTTGTAAAAAAAATGTCCACATAACCAACTTTTATAGAGAACAAAAAGTACATACATTGACTATCAAATAGCCTGACTTGTAGCAGAGTGCTGCTACATCCACTGAGGGTTTGGTTTGGGTCAGCATCATGATCAGGTTTAGGGTTAAGGTTACTGCAAGGTTAAAATATGGTTATATTATTGTAATTAATCATTTTTGTAAATAGATGAAAATAAAAATGAAGTATAATATATAATGAATAAATAAAAATAACAAAAATAAAAGTATTGAAATATATATATTAATAATTATTTGCATATCTTATGTTAGTTTAGTTCAGTTCTTTTAAATTAGTTGAAATTTTTTTATTTTTTATTTATTTAGGTGAGCAATCTGCAAGATATATTGAACTTCAAATTTTCAATCGGGATTGTGGATGATATTATTGCCAAATGTAAGTTTTATATATATATATATATATATATATATATATATATATATATATATATATATATATATATATATATATATATATATGTATATGTATATATATATATATATATATATATATATATATATATGTATATATATATATATGTGTGTGTGTGTGTGTATATATATATATGTATATATATATATATATTTATATATATATATATAGTATATATATATATATATATATATATATATATATATATATATATATAGTATATATATATAATATATATATATATATATATATATATGTATATATATATATATAAATATATATATATATATATATATATATATATATATATATATATATATATATATATATATAGGCAGTGGTATAGTGCTTGTTTTGTGTTGTCCAGAGTTCTGCACAACTTTTGCATATCCAAGATTTGGTTTTCCATATTATATATATGTGTGTGTGTGTGTGTATATATATATATGTATATATATATATATATATATATATATATTTATATATATATATAGTATATATATATATATATACATATATATATATATATATATATATATATATATATATATATATATATATATATATATATATATATATATATATAGTATATATATATATAATATATATATATATATATATATATATATATATGTATATATATAAATATAAATATATATATATATATATATATATATATATATATATA